TATCCTGTTAGATTAGCAGCAGAGATGGCAAAAAAGATCGAGTTTATTATTTGCCAGTGCAAGCCAAATGCTCAAGACAAACATTTTGAGTGGTTCTCAAACTCCGTAAGTATTGGGATAGATATGTATTGCAGCCTATTTTACGTTTTTTAGTTTTTCCGGGGTCCTGATGGCCCCAGCCTTCGCGCTGAAACCATACGCTACGTTCAATATTTCTTCAAGCCTGATATGCCTGCACATGTTCTTGAAGCTCGTGGTCATTTTCTCTATTATCTACTTACAAGTATACCTCCCAATGTGAGTTCATATCGACATTGAAGCATTGAAGCATGTGCTTGCTTATTTAGTACTAACTTCCCTTTCGTTGATTATTATTAGTTGAAAAGACTAAATTAGGAAGAAAATATTCTAGTCCGATGTCGAACAACAATGGTGCAAGACTGTAGTTTGGTTTGACTGGCTAACATATGATCCGCACACATCTGTGCAGTTTATCGAGCCTGTGATGAGCATGATTCGAATAGCACTAGCGAACTTACCGTCAAAGGCCACTGCTATGCTGGAGTACGTCTGCAAGGTCTGTTTTTACTTTTTACTGTCTTTTCTCAGAATTTGAGCTAAATGTTTCCAGAGCGTCTCGCTTATTTATCCTGCTCGTACAGAACTGTTCAAGAAAGCTGCCAATGATGCTATGCAAGCTGTACATGAGTATTATCAGGGGTGAGCTTCCTATCTTACACTATTGTGCCTTAGATCTGCATCTTGGTTATATCATTGCTGTAACCAAGTTTGAGGCTCAATCTCTTGAGTCTTTGCAGTGGTCTGCCTGCGCTTCTCGACAATCCCCGCATCGAGCGTAGCATTCGAGAACTAGTACGTGAGACATTCTCGGACTACTTTGCCCGAAATGCTGCTGCTCCACCGCCGCTTATCCCACCTCCAGTCTCGGCACCCCAGTTGACTGCTCCTCCACCGCAACCGCCAGTGACAAGGTGCTTTTTGCTATAAATCCAATGAAACTTCACTTCAAAATAAAGCGATTAAGGCCTCAGTCACTTCCCGCAACTACTACAGCGCCAGCTAATTCCAACCACACAACAAGCAGTAGAGAGCGAGGTCGATCTAAGGATAAGGAGAAAAACAAGGAAAACGAGAAAGATGATAAGGAGCGGGTCAAGCAGAACAAGACACCTAGCCCACCGAATGGCACCGTTATTTCGCCAAAAGTCGATGAGGTGAATGCAATTTTTGCAGCCTTTCATCTTGGGAGTACGTGGATACTTTGAATCCAGAGATAATTTTGATCAAAGCTTTTCCCGGCAAAGCGGTTTACTTTCAGCCAGTGACATTGCAGGCGAAAAAGAAGGAGCGAACAAAGGAAATCGACGAGCTTGTGGAGCAGCTGCGAGACGATTTCAAAACTACGATGGTAACTTTGAGGTATGTATTCACCAAGTATGATATTTTTT